GTGCAGGGTGGATTGCCATTGTAAGTTGTTTTTTTTTCCCTTCCTAATCCTTTTTCATCTTCATTTTCCAAATAACTCTCTTTTTAAACATGACTACAACCCTCACACTAGCCCGGGGGTGCTGGTGCCAGCTGTACCTCACAGCCTGACCACTACCAGCACGGCTCTGTACCTTGCAAATCTCCTTCTGGGCTCTGAATATCCAGGGAGAGAATTCTCCAGACATCAGATAGTTCCACAAGCTCCTGAGAGTCCTGGTCTCTAATGAAAGCTGCTGAATAGTGCCTTCATCCAGAAAGGTCTTGTATATCTGCTCCCCAGTCAAATGATGCAGGAAGAAACTGTTTTCTCTGCTGCGGTCCAGCACCATGGGCAGGAATTCCTCTAGGTCATGCCACAGGTCCAGGAGATGAGTCTCCACAGACCGGTCCTGGCGCTTCAAGAAGTCTTTGAAGGGCTGTCCTGCACAGGTCTCGGTGTTAAGGGCCCAGGAAAGGAAACTCAAGGTCTTGACTGGCTTTTTCAAGGATGGCAGCTGGACAAGGGGTGCAGAGGAATGCAAGTTAAAGAGGACTTTCTCTTCACAAATGTCTTCCAGATGAAGGACCTGCTCTGCGCTGGGTCTAGGTCTTTTGGGAGAGGTTGCTCCTCCTTTGCCTCCAAAAGCAGTGTTTGCAGGACACTCTGACTGCTGAGGAATCGATCCCAAAGCATTCTTATCCAGATGTGACTCCTTTGGGCTCCTGGCTGGTCCTGGCTCTCTTTCTGGTTGTACCTGAAAATGGAACATCTTCAATTCTTCCCTCCTTGACCAGAGTCTAGATCTCCACTTTGGCCTTCTTGCTGTAGTAGGGTGCTGACAAACCCTGGCTCCTTTTAATATGCATTTTGAAAAGATTCTCCAAAAAGCCTGAGGGCTCCCATGAGTTGGCCTGTAATAATCACTGCTGATATTCCTGCAGCAGAGGCTGGCACAATTTCTCCTCCTCCATGCCCATCTTGCAGTGGATGAAGAATTTAGGGAGCCAGTAGCTATGAATCATATAAAGGGCTAGTTCCTGCATCTTGTTTAGGATCTCCCTCCTGGTGCTGATGGGTTTAAAGTGCTTGGCTTTCAGCAGTGATCCTGAAATGGATGCAGGGGATTACAGCGGGGGG